TATCGTGTTTTGAGAAAAGCAGTGCTAAAATATTGCACATGGTTATATCTGCTGTGATGTTAATAAACGTACTTTTTTTTTTTAGCAAAATTTATAAATGTTCTTATTAGTTAATTAGGTTAGTTGAAAACTGTACGTATATATGGCACTCATGATGAAAGGTTACCTGCTAACTAGGAAAGAATGACCCGAACTCAAATTGAAATTGCCATCCTGAAAGTCAACGTATCTGGAGAAGACGTTGAAGAATGGACTGCCAGTCATGCTTGCTTACGATGGAGATATGCATTTGAAGCAGAGGTCCCAAAAAAATAAAACTGAAGCACGTGTTTCTCGAGACTTGTAAGTAGGAATCCCTCCTATTCCTACTAAAACTAGGTAAAGTTAATCACTCTACTAGTTTTAAAGAATACTCCCTCATGTTTTTTTAAAATATTTTTTTAATTCTTAATATAAGGTATTTAATAAAATATTAATTATATTTTTATTTTTATTTTCATTTAAATTCATTAATTATGGGAGAAGATACAATATAAATTTAAAATTTTTTTATTTAAACTGGAATAAAATTAAAGTTTATAATATTTTCATACAATGTAAATTTTAACTACCTTTTCTTAATTCTGGTGAGGTAGATAATTAAAAGTGTCTTATTATAGTAATAGAAGGGAGTAATGATTAGTATTTTTAAACCTATGGTCCTATTTATATTGTGGGGAGAAAAGTGTCTTTTTATTGTTTTTTTTTGCAATTTTTTTTATTTTTATTTATAAGTCATATCATTAATTTTTTTACTACAAATTTCTCATTCTACCCTCCACTAAATCTTGATGAGAAAAATATGGTATTAAAGCATGCATGTTTAATGGTAGTAAAATTAAAAATTTATTAAATTTTTAAATATTGTTCATGGGTTTTAAGATTTTTATTAGTTCTAAAATATATTGAAAGTAATTTATAAATAGGATAAGTAAAGTATAATTTTTTAATTGAAATTAATGTTTCTCAATAAATTGTTGTATTAAAATTAAAATCAAGATTAAAAAAAAATATAAAATACACATTTTTATCCAACATCTTGAAGCACGGCCTTTCAACTTTGCATTGTAATTAGGACAAATAATGTACTATTTAAGCTCTTATTCGCTTCACGATTCTTATCGTTTGCGAAGGCAACATGTGGTTTCTTAAACTCTTGATGCTTCCTAGCTAGCTAGCTATAATATTATATATTTTTCGTAATTTTTTAAAATCGGCATCTCAAATTCTCAATTTTTTTAATAATTAGTAGCAATTTTTTAATTTGGCCAATATAATTAGTAGCAATTAGTTGTGCAAAATGCAAATTGTTGTAAGTACTAAAATTTTTCAAATACATGTACTCCTCGGCTCCTTGCAAAGACTAACTAACAAGTTTATTGCATAGATAAAAAAAACCGAATAATTAAAATTAGAAAAACCTTATTTTAAAATTAATCTCATTAAAATCCATAAATCATAAGAGGGTGTTTAATAAACACAAATATGCATATTTAATCTTCTAATTTTATATAAAATTTTAATTTAATTTAATTTCTTATAAAACATCTTTTTAGTCATCTAATCCTAACACTATTAGCATTAACATATAATTTTCCGTACTAATCATGTTATTTTAACAAATTAAATTTAATGTATCAACATTTAAAAATATTTTTTCAAAATTTAAAATTCACCATCTTTTTGTTAATGAAATTAATGACATTAGGCTAGATGATTGAAAAATATCCTATAAAGGACTAAAGTAAAATTTTGCATAAAATTAAAGGATAAAATGTGCATTTTACCTTTAGTAAATTACAAAATATCAAAATAAATAATGTTTTAAAAAAATAATATTTTAAACAAAAGCAGGGGTGTTCATAGGACGGGATAGGATTGAGACACCATTGTCTCATGTCTCGTCCCAAAAAATGATTAAGACTGATTTTTATCTCATGTCCCATTTTTGTCCACTAGGAATCGGGACATCATCTTAATGAATCAAATAATGTAGGAGGAATACTTGAGTAATAATATTCATTAATTAAAATGTTAAATCATATAACTTATTAAGTTTAAAACCAAAGCATCATGAGTATATAAAATCACAACAATTATTGAATTACATTCATCACAACTACAAATATATACTTTAAAGTCAAGATGCATGAGACATATATAATATATTATGGTAGTAATTATAAGTAATCTCCAAGCTATAAGAATAATAATAACAGATAAATTTGGTATAACATCAAGTCATTATTTTTCTCCTTTACAAATATGTTAAGCTAGTGACTTTTTGGAAAATAAAGCAAGGGAAATGATATAAACAAATGTTATTAAATAAGTATATATAAGAATAAATTATATTAATTATATTAATATACTGTAAAGAAAGATATTACCATATACTGCTTACTCTGCATCATTAAAATTATTAATATAAAAACTTTTAGTTTTAATTAATACATTGAAATTATAATTAACATATTTAATGTATATTTTTAAAATAAAAAATATATATATATATATATATACTCCCCCATTCAAAAATGTAAGGCATTTTTTGAGGAGTTGGATGTTTAAAAATATAAAATATTTTTAGTTTTCAAATTATAATCATTGCCTTTTTTTTAAAGTACTCCTATTGATAATTGCTTTATATTTATTATAGGGTGTTTAATGGAGGTAAATATAAAAAGATAGGATTAGTTTAAAAATAAGCGACTATTTTATTAGGGGGTGATATTCAATTAAAAATATCTTATATTTTTAAATGAAGAGAGTATATATATAATATTTGGGACATGATGGGACGGGACGTCCAAGGAACAATCCTATATCCCATCTCAAACCCTTTTTGATCTCTTTTCGATTGTTTTGATGTGGGATGAGATTGTTTTGATATGATTGAAATAGAGTCAGGTCAAATTAAGAACTATAGTTTTATAATTAGCAGCGGAGGCAAGATTATCAATTTTTCATTTAAATAATATAAAAATAAACTTTAATTAGTAGCTATAATAACGTACTTGAAAAATATTCACGGTCTCGTCACTGGTATATTTATTAGAAATTAAAAAATATAATGAGAAAAACAACTAAACCGGCAAATCTTATTTAGATGCTACTGTCAATAGCTGTCATAAAAACTACAGTTACAAGATTACCCCAAAAAAAAAAACAACAACAACAGTAACAAAACTTACGGTCAAACGTTGAAAGAGATTGTCATTGACATGTGGTTCTCCAGAACCTTTTAATTTTTGGGTTTGATCGGCGACCGGATCTCATTCATACCATACCCACAAAAGGATCAATATTTCTAACTTCAAAGAGTTAGGTGAGTAGGTGCCCCTACCACCCCCAAAGATTTGTTCCCAAAAGGATACGAAGAAATTAAGTCGGCAGTCTCCGCATTTCCAGACTATAGTATAATAAATCCCATGGCGTTTGCGTGTATGTATTCCAAATGTAAGAAACGATTTCCATTTCTATAATCATTGAGTGAAATTTCCATTTTGAAGAAATAAAGTGGTCCTCTCGTTGGAACTCATGAATTACTAATGAACTAGAGATCGTGTGACTTTCAATATAACACCAAAACAGTGGAAACTGTACAAAAGAAATCATGAGGCATCTCTAGGAATATCATAAATTCATGGACCTTATTTGTGGTTATATATTATTCTCCAACTGTTAAAGGCATTGTCATTATCAGTGGTCCAGAGTGGTAGGTGAAAAATCTCCCTATTCAATTAATATATATATATGGGTACATATTTTTTCAGAAAATAAAAGGATTTTAAAAAAGTCAATATTTCTTGTATATATAAAAGAGGGTATGGTAGTGACAGGTTGTCTACCCACCAAAAGGTAGGAATCTGTATGCAGATGAAATTACCAATATAATTCACTCTAATTCCTTCTCGCAGGGGGGCAATTAAGACAATTTGATAGAGTGAATTGAATTATAAGCATCGGGATCAGTAGGCGGATTCCACTACCTATTGACATACCATGTGTATGTATGTGCCCAGATATGCATATAAATTAAGCACAGAAAAATCTCTTCAAGACCCTAGTGATGGCTTTCCTTTTCCGGCCGTCAGATTAAATAATTAGAAAATGGTTCATTTTATGGTGCAAATACCCCATCATTTAAAAATATAAAATATTTTTAATTAAATTTTATCCCTTAATAAAGTAATTATTTACTTTTAAATTAACTCTATCTTTTTATATTTATTTTATTAAACACTCTATAATAAATATAAAGTCATTAATCAATAGGGACACTTTTTTTTTTTTAAAAAAGGTAATGATTACACTTCAAAAAATTAAAAATGTTTCATATTTTTTAACATTCAATTCTTCAAAAAATGCTCTACATATTTTAATGAAGTGAGTATTAATTTATGATTTTAAAAACACTGCAATTGTGAGTCATACAATTACTAGTATGCCTTCACGAATGGCTTCTTAGTCTGACCAACACATTAAAATGCTTGCAATTCACCTCAATAAACTGATAAGAAGATTGAGGATCGCAAACTTACTGAACAAAGCTTAGGATTATGAGGTGCAATATAATGGATAGAACTGGCATTCATAAATTACCAAGGATTTGGATACAACTTACTCAACGAGTGTTACATGTGATAGGACAATAATCATCTATTTAATTAAATTGTCAGAGATTTTATTATATGATGTTCAGAAATTAAAATATTAAATCTTAAATTTTTAAAAGGAATAATATATGTGAGGAGTATTCTAATCATGGAAAATACTTCAAATTTTTGGAGAGAAATATATTTTAATAATTTTTAAATATTAATAAGTTGTAATAATTAATTAACATACTCATTGAATGAGTGAATTTAGATCCCAAATCCAAATTTAAATTATCAATTAACTATATATACATACAGAAAGAGAGAGAAGGAGGTGAAGTGAAAAGGGTTTGTTAAGGCCCAAAACAAGGGCCATGAATGCTGAGGGATAGTGGGGTCCCTCCATGGGGAGCGCGGTGGCTTTCGTAGAAGATGGAAAAATGAATAGGCAGTCAACAGATAAGCACAAAGGAGAAGGTTTTTATGATTTAAAGCCTCTTTGCTTCCCCTCACGCAGCATTTCAGATTGCAGACTGCAAGCCTTTCTCTCTTCAATCAAGATCCATCCCCATCCTCAGGTTAATACTTACTAGGGTTTTGGCTTTCTCTGCGTCGACCATCCATCTATTATCCACGTTTCATCTGACGGTGAATAAAACCCGAACGACGATTCTTCGTCGAACCGATCGAATGCTTGGACGCTGCAGAGAATTAGGGATCGATATATATTGGGAAGCAAACCAAGCTGGTGGGAGATGGAAAGTGCTGTAATCACAACAAAGGTATTGGCGCGCCTCAATTTGAAGACGTGGTTAAGAGATGAAAAGTAACCATGTAGTTTAATTGAGCCGCGTCAATATCTCAGTTTTGCACTTCTCTCCATTTCCTTGTGCAGTAACACCAATAATCCTGGTATGTCTTCGTCTCCCATCATTATTTCTCTTTATTATATTTTCCCCTTCTCAGTTAATTCTTCTTTGGTGCATATCGCATATATATACTTGTCTCTTAACATGCCTTTAATCTCCCTTCTATCCTATTATTGATTCTTCTGCACACAGTCTTGCGTCTGAGCGTCTCCCGGTATCTTTGTCCATCCCCGCCCAAAGACACGTGTTTTTATACGTCCTTGATTCTTTTTTTATTTCTGCAGCGAAACGTACATAATTAATCAATACTCTCCTCTTGAATGTATATATACGAATCTATTATCTATAGAGCCATTTTATGCAGTTTAATTTACTAGCTGATTGACGGAGCTGCTTATACAATTTTGTCATATATGAATTATCTGTTTTTATAAATGTACAAAGCATGATAAGTTTTTTTTTTTGTTTTACAATCGCTCAACATTAATGAATGGATAATAATTATTTAAACCAAACTCCTTTACATGATGTGCTTTGATTAAGGAAGTTATCTAAGAAAGTTCACATTGGTTTATTATTAACTATATATAATCAGGACATGACTTCATAAATATGAAACCTAGAAAAATGGAAAATATGCATACAATAATATATTTGAGTATATAAAAAGGAAAGACTACTGTGTTTTGCTGAGTGCTAACGATAGGTTGGATTCATTTGATAAAAGAACAAACGATAGGTCGGATTGATACATATGAACTTGATTTGCTTGCAAAATCCGTAGCCTGATTTTTTGGCGCTAACTTTTCTCTCTCATAAACACACACAAACCATACCTGGATATATGCATGTAGGTAATTTTGTCTCTTCCTTTCCTTACATTTTTCTCTAAATCGATTTGCGTAGCAAGATATATATGTGTAGCTAACTAACATGAATAGAATAGAAAGGAGTAATCATTGAGTTCCGACCTAATCATTATACCGCCAATTCAAAACGTCTGGCTGCTCTGGTCTTGACAATAATTATATGTAGAAGGATATAAACAAAGATATATATATATATATATATTTATATAAAAGAAATTATGTGAGGGCAAATTAAGCAGGATATTAGAGCGTCAGAAAGAGTAGGTGAAATTGGAGTATCAGGTCGGCCATCAGAGATTGCACTAAAGCATTATTGAATTGTATTATCTATACTTTACACAAAGCAGAAAGAATCGAAGGCATAAATGATGCAGAGAAAGGGACAGGAAAAAAATAGGTCCACCCTCAAATTAAAACCACGATATATAGGGCTGGTTTGGTCCTTTTAATTAAATGCATCAACCACCCGCTTATTAATTAGCAACCAAATATATATGTAGCAAGTGAAGGTGCGTACATGTATAACCCTAATCAAATCTCCGCTCTACTGCATCATCTCATAAAATCATGCATGCATAAGGTAACTCAATTTCTACCACATATAATTCCTTTGCACACAAAAGGGGTGGGTTAATTAGGTTTTGATGACTTTCAAAGAACTTTATAAATTACCCTGGCAGCGTCGTCACATCATTGATAACATGACTTGGGGAATCAATGTTTTTAATTTGTTGAATATGAACCCAGTTCTTACCAATTAAATCAATGTTTGTTAACTAAAAGAATGATATGTATTGAAATATAAGAAAGATTCATAGTCATATTAGAGCAATTGATAAAATATGTGAATAAAATTTATTTATAGAAATTTGAATTTAGAAAAAATACATTTGAAACCCAGTAATATATATTTATTTGTGTGTGTGTGGGGGGGGTGATGAGAAGGATTGAGAGGGATGGGAAGGGACAGGGAGGTGAATTAATGGATTGTCTGTACTCTCTCCACGAAGGAGCTCTGCCCTGAGGGGAATTAAGAGGGGGGGCCTATCCCTTTCTTTTTTCTGTTAGGTACCTTCGTCTCTTCCATTTTTTTTCCCTCCACAAATCATGTAACAATTATATTCCTTATTTGCATCACAGTTTGGCTTTTATATATATATATATAATTATCTGCCCGTCTCACATTCGAGCATTACCAGCCTTAATTGAAAATTTGAAAGTAACTCTCCAAGATTTCCTATATTTACACATATTCATACTTAAATGGTCGTGGTCCCTTTTACTAGAATCCAACACTTGTTAGTTGATCCATTGAATTTCTAACTAATTTAGAATCTTACTTAAAAAACCGACCCTCCGGAAGTTTTTCTGTAAGCTGCTTCTGCCGTCATTTTTACGTTATCTTCCTCAAAGATTGGAAATAAACAAAAAGATTCTTTCTTTTTTTTTATTTTAATAATGCTGCGTCACTTTGAGCCAAGACTGGCGAAGAGGAGCGTATAAAATGACAATCAATGGGGACCAAACTGAAAAGATCTTACCCGACTATATATTGTGTTATTTGTGTGTGCTTGTATTTTTATATTATATATTTTTGAGCAGTGATTAAAAGAATCAACCAGACAATTTATGATTCACACGTATTTGATTAAGTATGTGAAGCAATGCGGTAGTATATATTTGTAAATATTTTGACCTAATCTAATATGGACGCAAGAGTCCAGCGTTGACAAGGCACAGGGAGAGGATTGTGATGGTAATTAGCAAGTGTAAACTTGAAACTTTTGGCATCTTTGAATGCATCACGAGTGACGTGGGAAGAGCATCATGGATTCGTGGATTTTTTGTTGCATCTTTCTCAAGAAACCCTTCATGATCTTTCTTACATGGCCATATATAATAGCATCTGAAATCTTTATATATATATATATATATATTATTTAAATTTGTTGTGATAGAATTACAAGCGCAAGGTGTGTTGACAGGTTGATGATTTGATGATAATCCCACCCTGCTCCTGATATTTCGTCTTCACTCACAGCAACATCAACGTCAGCTGCCCCACTCTGTCTCACTTGAATGCTTTCTTGCTTTCCCACTCACACCCCCTCCTTTAATTAATTATTTTGTTTCCCTAATTCTGATTGATTCATGTGCACTTCTTTAAACCACTACTATATATTATATACTAACATATATTTCATCTAACTGCTTCTTTCGTCCGTGATAGCAACTTCACTTTTTCCACCTTTTTATTTAAGCCATCTTATTTGCCTCTTGCGGCAACAGATATAGTACTTTAATTATTTATGCTCTTGTGTACGCCCAAGTGATGTTAATTACTTGAAAAAAAAAAATTTGTTCAAGTCCACACCCAATATATAGCTCCCTTTCATGTAGTCAACGAACTTACCATATTCTTGCAAATCAACTACGATCATCAAATTTTGGATCTTTCAGCCTTCACTTCAAGCAATTTCGCACACTAGGATGAACACGAGCAACTAAAACAATTGAAACATGTATGGGCAGCTCCGCCCCAGCCTGAAGATGAGCTGAATTGTTCACTTTTTTTGCAGTCTTTATATATAAGTTACTTTTAATTACTTTATCAAAATCAATACTTCCTTTGATCTTTTTTATAGGATAGAGAGAGAAAAAATTTTTTAGTCTTATTTATAAGTTATATCATTAAATTTTTTTTACAAATTTTTTTTTACCCTGAATGTTGGAAAGAGAAAATTGCTATTGAAGTATGTATATTTAATAACGGTAAAGTTAAAAACTTATTAGATTTTAAGACAGAGTTAATGAATTTTAAAGTTTTTTTTTATATTAGTGAAACGCGTTGGACATGATTTATAAATAGGACCAGAAGAGTAAAACATAATAAAGTCATTGACGTTGTCTGAAAAAGAAATTTTTATTCATTCTGATTAAATGCATCATTCTTAAAAAGCATTTTCCTTTTCATGTATATAACCCTGATCTACTCTATTTGTTAAAAATTCTGAAAGGGTAAAATTGAAAGAAAGTAGTTAATGATATTTTCTGTATATAAAAGATTACTCATATATGTAAAAGGCCACAGGAGTATAGTATATCAACTCTCAGTACAAACTTGAATAACGGAACCGGAGAAAATATTATATATACTTATTATTTTATCAGAAGTATTATATAATTATTCTATGTCGATTTTATCAGTTAATTGAATTTTTCTATTTTAATTAGTTTTGTGCTTCTCTCTACTATCGATCAGTTTAATTAAGAAAACTACAATTTCTTAAAACGAAAAAACTAACCGTGCAAATCATGATTCCAACTCCAAATTTGATATACTCATAATGTAATCCTGAAATATTTCATCGTGAAGTTGAGCAAATAGAGATTAAATTTCATATAATCGGATATCTCTTTTATCTTGCGCAGAGATAAAAGGGAAAGGGACATGGCCGATTCCTTTGGAGTTTTGATGGGTTAGAACCTCATGAAGATGAAAGATTGAAGTTTTAGATTGGGCCCAAAAGCCCAATTTTAGTGGCCAATGAGACTGCTTTTTTTGTTGGGACTTCATTTTTTACATTTGAAAACATGTACACACTTAAAAAAAAAAAAAGAAGGATAACAAAACAGAATGAACAAAGCCTATGAGATGGGTTTGATAAGAGCAATGTCCAATTTCTGTACCATAATTGTATATGGGGCAATAGAGGGTGGTAGCCGCAAAGCCATTTTTATTTCTCTATGAAAAATGCTTGTAGCTTGTATTAACAATTATGCCCGATATATAACTGTCATCCCCGTATATTCACGTTCCAACATCACCATGCTGTAAAATTGTAATTTTTTTTCCTTTTAATGTCGTGTAAATAAAATCATGCATGTTTGTGTGGGACAATTGATGTTTGTGACTTTGTGTTTCAATGAACTTATTCCTCATAGCCGATTTTATGGAGAGGTATAATTAATGTAGTCAATATGTCATGTTCCACTCATGTAAGAACATTAATAAGTCTTCATATCGAAATCACTAATAAATTAAAATAAATGCAACCAACAAAATTTGGTTCAGTTGATAATTATTTGACTCATAATTTATAAAGTCATGTGTTAAATTTTGTTGTTGATACAAGGATTTTAATTAAACAAATGTACAAAACAAAGTTTCATATCTGATTATATAATAGTTATAAGCTAGCTACATTACAAGTCAAACTAAATCTTTCTCCCTATACCCTTTTAAAGCTGACTATGTACAATTTTTGGTGGGGAAGAAGTAAATCAGGGTTCTAAATAAGACCTAGCCTATTTAATAATCTTTACTGATGTCAACATACTATGAGTTTTAGTAAGGTTAATGACTCACACTTTAACCGTTAAATAGATTCAATAGATTGCATGTCTAGACCGTAAATGTGAGATCAAATGATATAATTGGATTTCAATATTTCAAAGACTATTAGTTAACTTGTTTTAACATGTCCATAAAATAGTTAATCTGAGTGAGCAGATAAACAGTTCACACACAGGACACAATTTTCCATCATAACTTACTAAAAAAAAAATTACTTTTAAGAGGGTGGAGTCTGTTCAGGTCAGGGACTGATCCAAAAAACAATTGTGTGGGGGGCTAAAATGCAAAATTACATAATAGTAGGGGCCATAATTAATTTTACCATTTTTTACAAGTGAAAACTAGGTAATTTTAACAAAAATTTTGTGACATGGGATGCTCTCCCGAAAAAACAAAAAATGCATGCCTGTTTCAAGTTCACGACTTGTTACTTTCACGAGAATGGATATTTGCTCGTGCCTTTTTTAGGCTAAATATCAAATAACAAGATCAACTAAAAGTGATATAGCAGCAATAACAATTTGAAAGTATATGCTTATGTACTGTATATCACACACATATAATTCTTCCAATATTTGTGATATTAGTTGTAAATAATATGCAGACATTATGGATTGGGTAGAAAATAAAACAAAATAAAAATTAATGAATATGACAAATCATAGAACAACCTTGAAACCAACTAAATTGAAAAAAAAAACAAAGAATCAACAATAAAAATATTAAAAAATAGGTTACAAGCTAAATTAAGGGAGAATTACAGTAAGTGACCTTTAAAGAAATTATTCATAGATAAATATCAATATGAAATATATTATTATTAAAATATGAACATAATTTTTTTTGAATGAGATTTGTTATTAGTTTTTATCTGTAAATAATTTACTTAAGTGAGCATTGGATGTGATTCTCCCTTAAACTAAAGCACAATCATCTTTGCCACGCCCATCATTGTACATTGTATTGACAAAATCCGTTCCTTTTATGAAAAAGAAGAAAGAAAATTTGATATATAAATTGTTTGCATCCCGCATAACTGTTTTAGATATTAGCTAAACATGATTTTCTACATATTATAAATTAATAACTTATGAATAACGTGACTTGTTGAAAGATGGAGGTATATGGCCAGTCATGACGAGAGTTTACATCATTTATAACAGGGAGAATTATATATAAGTTTCATTTAATACAATATTATCGTTCTTCTAAATTTAATTGTCAACGGACCTGAAAATAATTAGTTGGGTTAAATGAGATGTTAAAGTAAGTCTCATTTTATAATATCTATCAATTAAAACAACAATATATGGAATTACATATAAAATACGAAATTTAGCATGCTAATAAATACATTTGAAACTTTTTTCTTCCTTGATGAAAAAAAATTAAGGACATCAAACTGATGGAACGCTTGTATTTTTTTTTTTTAAATAGTCAAATATAAAACTTTCTTCCCCCTATACTTGCATGCTAAAAGTAGACCTGTAACTTTTACGTGTTTTGAAAAAACACGCAACCCACAAATCTTTAACTAGACCCGATCTCGAACACCAACATAAGAATCGCACTAACACAACCGCATTTAAATTTGTCCCCAAAATTACGTTTGATGCAAAATAAATTACAATGTAATAACTCCTACATCATACGCATTGCGGTGGACATGCAAGAATAATATATTTTCTGCTGCTACCATGTTGTAAATTGTGTCTATTTTAATAAACTATATAAAAGTATTCATATATGTTTAACTAGCCACAAAATCGACAGAGCAGTCTAATTTAATTAAAAAAATACTTATATATTTAATATACTTCTTTTTAACTAAATCAAGATATGTAAATATTTTATATATTATTTGTTTTATGAAAAATTTTATTATTAATATTATTAATACTTTAAAATCCTCTTGATTTGTTTGGATTGGATTGGATAAAAATATATTAATTTTTTTTCCGCCTAAATATATTAATATTTGAGTCTTCCTCCTAACAAGGCCATCCAAGGCAAGTTGATAGCAATATACAGCTTGAATTAAATATTTGCTTGTATAACATCTCACACACACACAGTTCTTCCATTTGAGTTTGAAGCATCAAACTAATTTAAGACGTAAAGATATTGCTTTTCAAGGTAAAAATACTGGACCTAGGGTTGGATACATGTAACATATAGATGTTATACATGGTTTGGTAGAAAGGTTGGGTATAACGGAGGGGTATTTGCTCGTAACGTAGTAAATTAATGTTTGAATATTCACTAAAAAATGTGTTAATTTTAATGTTTGATTGTGTCTTGAGCATAATTATTTTTAATAAAAGGATATTATATGCAATTAACAAAAGAAAACATAAAGTAAAAATTAATAAATATGATAGACGTATGGAACTAACTGAATTTAAAGGCAAAAACTCTCAATAAAAGTATCAAGAATTGATTATAATTAAAGCACGGTGTTTGTCATGTTCATCACGTTCATTGTATTATTAAAATCCGTTTTTTTATCAAAACCAAGGGGAAGAATCTGAGCCATGATTTGGCTTTATCTTCGAAAGTGGTTTTAGATATAAACTAGACATGATTTTTTTTATAAATATACTAATACTTATGAATACTGCCCACACATTATGATTGGTGAAAAATTACATTATTTATAAATATTTAGCATTAAAAGTGAAGGAAAAAGAAGAGAAAGGGAGAGAGCGAGAAGAAAAGTTAATAGGGGGAAGGAGGGAGGGAGGCGCATGAAAAATGAAGGTGAAGAAAGGTGGAAGATGATAAACGCGTCCATGGAAGAAGCACTCAGCATGCAACCCGGACCGAAATGCTAGCTCCACCCTCTCTCTCCTCCATTCCTTTATATTCATCCATTCCCTTTGCCCTCTCTCTCTCCCCCCCTCTCATACCCATTTCTCTCTGCATCTCTCCGTTTTTCATTCCTCTCTACAAAACAAAGACCCACCCAACAACCTCTCCCTCTCCCTCTCCCTCTCTCTCTACTCCAGCCTTTTCTTCTTTTTCTTCTTCTTCTTCCTTTTCTATCTCTCCTCTCTTCTCCTCCTTCTCGTCTTTGGGAGAGGAGAGAAAGTATTCTGATTTATCAAACTATCCCTCGTCATCGCATCCGACAACAGATTCACTCGTTTTTGAAACATGCGGAGGATGATTCACAGTGACGACGACTTCAGAGACCGAGTTGAGGACGCGGCAAACGCCGAGGCATCGACAGACGGCGAGGAGAAGCAGGGCATGAGGAAGGGGCCATGGACGGCGGCGGAGGACGCCCTTTTGATAGAGTACGTGAACAAGTACGGCGAGGGGAATTGGAATTCCGTGCAGAAGAACTGCGGGTTGACGAGATGCGGCAAAAGTTGCAGGCTGAGATGGGCCAACCACCTCAGACCCAATCTCAAGAAAGGTGCTTTCTCTGAGGGAGAAGAACAGTTCATCGTCGAGCTTCACGCCAAGCTCGGAAACAAATGGGCTCGCATGGCTTCCCTGGTAATTAAACCACTATTGCATTTTGTTTGATCTTGCGCATGGTTTTCTGTGCAATGCTTGATTGGCTCACTCTACGTTTGTGTGAGTATGTGTCCGATGCTGATGTTTATAATTCGAAACCATTTTTTCTCCTGTTTTCATTTAAGTTGGATCTGCGGCGGCTATGAAGGAAAATCCATTTTTGTTCCTACTCTGTTTTTCTCTTACTGTTTTTATGGGATTTTTGTTCTTGTTTATGCGGAACACTACTGATGAAGAAGGAGGCTTGTGAGAGAAGCTGTTCGTAACTCTACTCACTCACAAACCCACCACCTAATAAAACCAAAAAAATGATCTCATTTTATCTACGTTTTGTACTTTCGAGTGAGTTTCTTTTGCCGTTTCCTGCATTTTTATTATCATATTCAAATAAATTCGTCCACTGCTGACTCCTTTTATATATTCTCTCTGGGACCCCACCTCATGAAGTTCTCATCTTTTTTAATTTTTTTTTTTTTTGCTGTGTGTTTTTCAGTTACCTGGGCGAACTGACAATGAAATAAAGAATTTCTGGAACACGAGAGTGAAAAGACGCCAGAGAGCTGGGTTGCCTCTGTATCCTCCAGAACTCGAAGAAGAAGCTTCTCTGCATCATCTTAACCAAAACCACCAATACCATGCACCACCGCCTCTCCTATCTTCCTCCGACAAACTCCATAAGCTCACTGGCCAGCTAAGCAATTACGATTCTGCTGATACAACTCATGGCAGAAGCAATCAATGCCATCAAAACATGGGCTTCCCATTACTATCCTCCGTTTCGGCATACGGGTTTCAATATTCCGGTGGAACGATGACAGATATCTCTTCAACCCAATCGGAAACACCTCCTTCGTCCTACAGTACTACTAATGGGGTTCGCGGCTTGATGGGAGGTTCCACCATTGCTCCTGGCATTGACTACTATGATGTCGCGCCTTTGTCGCCATCAACAGAAGGAAACAGTGGGCTCCTGGATGCTGTACTGTTGGAGTCTCAAGATCTTTCTCGCAGGGACAGTCGCAAGTCCAAAACTAATGATTCTGATGCAGGAAGGAAGTTATCCATGAAGAGGAAACGCAATGCGGACGAGGAAGACAAAGACATTGAGCAATTGCAGTCAGATGGGAAGAATGGAGAATTCCCGAGAGATGATTTAAGCTCTCAATTATCCACAGGTATAGTCATTCTTGTTTTGTGTGAAAGTGAGCTTCGTTAACTCTTCACCATGCTTGGATACGGTTATTTTAATCGAAACTGTCTGATTACACAGAGAAGAAGGCAGTTGCGCTTGATGATCCATTGGACGGAATGAGTTCTATGGACGATGACTTGATTAGCTTGTTGAACAATTTTCCTTCAGAAATGCCGGTGCCTGATTGGTACCGGAAAGGAGAGAGACATGCTTTGGAGCTTGAAAATCAACAAGATACATCACTGGGCCGACCTGATCAGCAGCTCGCTTGGACCCTCGGAGGAACCTGTTGGAACGACTTGCCTAGTACATGTACATAAATATATATTGGCATGTTGCTTCCCGAAACTCGGAATTGAAATATGAAAATGACAGTATGTATACAGTAAAAGATCATATTGGCAAAACAGGAAAACTAAAAAAGAAAAAATAAAGGTGTGTTATGTCGATTAGAATGTAGAAGGATAGAGAGCGTAGTGTACATGCTTAAGCTGGTTGAAGACCAGAATGAGATGATTGTGTTGATTAGGTGGCTGGCTTATGTAGGTCCGGAGTTAGAGGCTGTATTAGGATTGAGGTTGATAGACAAAGCTCCCCTCACCCACTTGAGGATTTTCATCTGTAGATTTGTAGAGCTTGATGTGTTTGGAGTGTGTGTGTGTGTGTGTAAAGAAAATGAGCTTGTAATGAAACACCTATGTCATTAAGTGAAGCTTTAGACTTTTGATTTTCAGGTGCTAAAGTTGGCCGAGATGTGTGTCACATGAACATTATTAATTTTCTTTTGTTTTTATTAATTATTAGGTTTTCATAAAATTAAAATAAATGGGATCGGCTGGAAATGGATTTTTTTTTTTTAATCAGCTTTTTCTCTGGTCTCTAAAATAATAAAACTCTACTATCTGCAGGCAAATATATACACATGCACTGTTACCGGGACTCCGATTATTGTCGATTTCAAATCATATAATAAAATCAAACTCTTAAAGTTAATCAAAGCAATGCATGTCATATATAGAATTTTCATATGAAGAATGAGGCATGTGCTTCAACATTGCTGAATTATGCGAGGGAGGCTAATTTTGCACTTTTAGATAAACTGTGTATATTATTTTTACTACTGAGATATATATCTTTTTCGTTGCCCTTCATGCACGTGAAGGACTAAAGACTGTGTATTGCAAAAGCATTTAAAAAACCAGCCCGCTAAATAAAATCGAAGAGAGTACTTTCCTGTACTTGGTGAAAATGAGCTACACCTGGAGTTGCTTCAAAGAGATCACGCCAATCACCAGTTTCTTCCCACCACCATTCATAAATTAAGAGAATCAGAAATCTCTCAAACACACAAACACACGTAAATTACACTCTCTATTTGTTTTGTATATTAATTTCAAGGAGAAGTCTCTTTTTCAAATGATGGCAATGGTTATTAAGATATTTGCTATATGGATTTGTGGGATAATACATTACTGATGTTTAATGATCACGTTCGCCTAGCGCATGGATTGCATGAACTAAATGCACGTTTTTTTTTATGCACGTTCAGAAACTCCCTCATCTGGTTTCAGCTGAAATGCACGATATTAGATTATGGAGCTTGGTTTCAATTTTGTTTTTCAAACAAGATTTTTTATCTTGTAACGCGCTTTTTACCCTCGAACTAAGGTCTGAGTCCCCCAAACCTTCAATTGGGGTGTAAACCAAGCATAGCTTAAAAAGCTTGGGAACAGCAAAGGACAAGCTAAGCCGGGAACTTTGGCATAATCCATTCAGAGGATGTCTGCACGTGCGTGTGGTAAAAAAAATGGGTCTATGTATAGCAATTTGTGGTAGCAACTAAGATATGTGAAATGGCAAGTAGGATATACTCAAGAACTAATTAAACAGGGGAGAGGGTCTTGGATTTATTAACATATACCTATTAAGCAACTAATGTTATCCTTCAGAGACACAAACACGAAGACGAAGGGTCTGTCGGAGTCTGTGTGCCTTGGTACTTATATAGAAATAAATGGAATATAATTACATTAGGAAACGGACTATGTCTTGAGTTGAATGACCACTTTGCCAAGACTAGAGCTTGAGAATAAGGAAGCCAAGCTGTCCAAAAAGCTGTCTATTCCATGGTTGATTTGAATCCTGGTTTTGATCTTGCCTTGCTTCATGTAGTCCTCCATTTGTTTAGCGAATTCTCCGAAACGATCTCAATATGAATCCAGCACAAAACCCCCCTTATGCCTGTTCTTTCTGTCCAAACCTGCGGCACAAATGTTTGTGCTTGCATACACAGAAAAACAGAAACAACATAACATAATAATGTATCAGCATGGAGTTTTTTGATTTACCTTGTTATATTCAGATATCATCCCGCAGAGTGATCTTTTGGCGGACTTGTTTATGTGGTTGAGGACAGCTTCAAGCATCTTATCACCAACGTTATCAAGGTAAAAGTCAATGCCATCAGGAAATACCTGCAAATTAATTATTTACCATATAAATAATGTGATATCTCGGTGAGAGACATGGTGGTGGCGTGGAGGAAAAATTGAAAAAGAAAGAAAGAAAACCTGGTCAAAGTAGCATCAAAGTCCGATTTGTCGTGGTAATTGAATTTGTCATCACAGCCAAATTCCTTTTTGATGAGCTTCACCTGAGAGGGAAGCCATTGCCAGCCCCCACCATCACATTTCCAATTAAGGATATACATCAAGCAAAAACGCATGCAACCTCACCATGCATCAACTTATATCACTATATTAAACATATATCTTGTTTTTTATTTTGTTTAATAGAATTTAAAAATTTGACTTCATTATAAATAATATTGGTTGCATTCACATTTTAAACCAGGTAAAAATCCACATTTAGTCCTTTCAATTTTAAAAAGAGTTCATTTTAATCCCTTAATTTTATCAAGTACATTTTTTATTCCTTTAATTTTAACCATGTTAATTTTTATTAATAAAGAATGTCGATATTGAATATTCATATGATAACAAAATATTTTTAAATGTTAAAATATTAAATTAAATTTTTTAAAATAACAATAGTTTCATGTTAAAATATCATCATTTGAGATTAGCAGTATGATAAAAAAATAATTTATAAAATTAATGAACCAGGGTTTAAAACAATAAAATTAGAGAATAAAAGTGACATATAATTTTGCCTTTTAAACTGTATCATAATCTATCGCTAGTGATTATAAGTGTCAACAGTTTTCGACAATACAAAAACACATGTATGAAATATCATAAAAGCAAAATATGACAAATTAAATTCTCAAACATTAAGTACTTCACTTGGTAGGATGAAAACACTAACACTTGATTTCACGTGAGTATACCTTGTGATCAGAACCAGCGCTTCCGATGACCCGACAGCCTCGGAGCTTGGCCAATTGGCCTGCGCAGGTTCCCACGGCGCTGGAGGCTGCAGATATGAACGGGTTGGATCCTGCCTCTGGCTCTTCTACCACCTCGACGCCAACCCACACCGCAAACGCCGGTGCTCCTATAATCTCTCATTATATTGATTAATTGATGGTTATCTATGTTAATTATAATAGAACAAATAATTAATCTGGATCATGATCTGGTTAAACCCCCCCGGAGATTTGAGATAGTCTGGTAAAGCAATCCCATTGGAGGGATCAATTTTCCGAAGGAGACAAGACAATGTGACGCACGCAATACTCGGCAGCTGGAGAAGATGGATTCAGAACTACGTCTCCCATCACTGTCCTTTGATCCTATTACCCTTCCTATCCCGAACATCACCTGCGGCTGCAAGACCCAACATTCATCTCTCTGAAATCTTGTTTTCAAAATATATGTAATGTGCGATTGATTGGATTGAAAACAACTGTAAATAATGCGTATACCTGGCTAAGGGGAAGCCGGCGAAAGAAAAGGCCATCGTTGGTTCCAGTGAAGGTGGCTCGCCGGTAAAGCTCCACAGACAGAAACATCAGCTCCATTAATTGCCACGTGGCCATTGCCCATTGGGCATGGAATCTCCACCTGCTGATACTTGAACACTACGGAGTTTCAGGCGTTTTGATGTCGGAACACCTTCCGAGCAGTACGCGGCCACGTGCCATTCTTTGCTTTCCACCACATCATCTCCCATTTCTTCTTCTTTCAACTACTGTACGATCTTTGGTGACGCCGGTGAGGTTTCAGGGACTGGGTTGGTCTTTATAAATCATCAACCCATGCATCTCCCGGAATCGTATAATTTCATTCCAAGAAAAATAATGGGGAGAATGACAACGTTGAATTTTTTATTAAAAAAAAGTTAACGTCAAATAAGGATTCGTCGTAACTTAATCCAGTCACCCTCCAATGTTTTGGCACTGAAAACGGTCTTAACCTTTTTTAAGAAGTACTTGGTTGTCATTCTCTCAACAAAATTTCTAGTAGCTTCTTTAAGATTCTTCTTTTTTCAAACCAATTATGTGATGATAGCGTTAGGACGTTGTCCATTCTAGTAGCTCTATATCTTCGTCATAAGTAAGCAATCTCAATCTGTGGGATTTTTCTTTCCGGGTTTCTCTGGCCTGAGTAACACTGGTGTTTTTAATTTGTGTCTTTTTACGTGCCAGCATTGATTTTACGAGCATAATCTCGCAGTCACTCACACTTGTCATCTAAGCATTAAAAGAAAGATTTTGTCTCGAATGTTGAAATGCAAAATATTTTAGTAATGATATTTATAAAAGATTGAAAATAATTGGAGAAGTCCTGCATCTTCCATCATTTGGGGAGAAATCTTTATAGCTATATCAACTAGATAATCATATAGCTATATCAACTAGATAATCATTAAAAAATCGCTAGAAGGAGGGTTTGAACCTCCGACCTTGTGGTTAACAGCCACACGCTCTAACCAACTGAGCTATTCCAGCCGTTGTGTAATGTTTTCCATATCTATCAATATGACAGTTTTATTTTCTACTAATGTAAATTGAATTCTAGAAATACTGATTCTTGTCCATCTGTTGAAAATTAGTGCAGCTCATATATAACAAATTTGCACACAGAATTATAAATTATGACACTTTGCATTTTTTATAGGGAGAATGACAAGTAAAGATCTTATAAAAAAATTGATGTCAAATTAAAAATTTTAGTACTAAAATATAAAGTATTGAATTTAGAAACTATGGTTTTAAAGAAATCCTGAGTTAACATTTTTTTTTATAGGATCCTTACTTGTCATTTTCCCTTTCTCATATATTTTTATAATAATTGAAAGCTGAAAATAAATTGCAATGGTGCCCGTTTTCAAGGTGGAAACCTCAAATGCAGTGACAGAGACCCAAGTTGGGCCGACCGATGTGGAGGAGGTGGATCAACTCAAAAGATCTCTGAGTGGGCTATTTCTAATTTTTATTCCATCACTCTTCCTCTGCCTGTACAAATTGCAAGCATGGTAGTGAATGGCGTTAGTAATGTTACGTACAATTTGGTGACTCGTATGAACAAAAATAATATAGAGAAAATTACCTCATTCCTTATTCTTCCCTTTTCCATTAGGGCATCTCAGCCTATGTAACACTAACATGAGTTTACGTATTGCATGGGATTCCTAAGATATGACAATTTTTTTTTTTGGCTAATAAAATGTTAGGTGTATTTTAACTGCTCGAGATTCATTCCTTGCCTCGTTGGTAAACACAAGACTCAGAGCATATAAAGCAAAAGATGAAAGCAAACTCCTAAAATC